TGCCGATACCATCCAGCCTGACCTTTGGGAAACTCCCCCATTCTAAACTTCAGCTCACCTGGTTGTCCCGGGACTCCCTATTTTTCCTGTCGAGGGAAGGCTATTTGACCCAGGCCCAACCAATCAGTGCATTCTGGGTTGTCCGCCTTCTGACCACAGTGATTGGATCAGGGTTGGGCAAGTGACCCAACAGTGCCCAGTTAATGATGGCTGTGGGACCATTAGGCAGGAGACCTCTTGGATTGCCAAGAAGGTGGGTTGTGAGCCTAGAGCTTCTGAGACCATTTTTGCTATCTGAAGGAGAGCCTGCCCAAGTGGGAAAAATGTACTGAGAAATAGGGACAGTGACTTCATATCATCACGTCGGACCCTGGATCCAGCTGTGACTGAAGCTGGTTACTATTTTATTTATTTATTGTACTGGGGATTTAATCCAGGGGTGTTTTACCACTGAACTACTTGCTCAGCCCTTTCCATTTTTTTTTTTTTAAATTTTGAGATAGGGTCTGTCTAAGTTGCTTAGGGCCTCCCTAAATTGCTGGGGCTGGCCTCAAATTTGCCATCCTTCTATCTCAGCCTCCTGATTGGCTGGGATTACAGGCATAGGCCACCACACCCAGCACTACTTTGGAGAGTCAATACATTTTCCTAAACTAGTTTGCATCTGAGGATGAGAGATCCCTGATTAATTCACTGTCCCTCTCCATGATCCACAAGAACCGGTTCTGGGGCTTGGAGCTCAGTGGTAGAGCGCTTGCCTAGCATGTGTGAGGCACTGGGTTCCATCCTCAGCACCACATAAAAATAAATAAATAAAACAAAGCCCTGCCGTCCATGCACAAGGTTGTGCCCTGAGGCAGTGACCCTGTGAGGCCTGGGCTGGTTGGGACTTTTCTGGTCCCCTGAGGGGATGCGTCTGGGCTCTTTCAGGATCAGGCATCTCCATGTCCCCAGGTGTCCCCTTGCCTGAGAACCTGAGCTCTGAGGACACATCCACAGTCATGGCTGGCTAATGGCAGCAGCTTAGCTCGGTCCAGTTCAGGGGCTACAGTCTCCTCGCGGGGGCCAGCACGGGGAGAGCGCATCCGGGTCAAGGTCTGCCCTTGTCTCATCCCTAGGAGCTAAGGCTGGAGTCTCTACAGAAGTGGTGGCAGGGGACCTCCCACCAGGGAATGACCCCACCACCCTGAAATGGGACTCATTAGGATTTCAAAGACAGGCTAAAGCACAGGGTGAATCATCCAAAGCATTTCTTAGGGGACTTGCAGAGTGGCCTGCAGCAGGTCCTGGTGATGGACATCGAGAGCCCAGAGGCTCTGGGTGGGTGAGTGTGTCCATGGCTAGGGCTCAGGGCTGGCTGACATGAGGGCCTGAGGCTCTGGCTCAGGTCGGGGCCAGTTTCTTTCAGTGTTTTTGAGGCCACAACATCAACACCCTTATCAGCACCTGGGAATGTTCCAGGCTTCTGCTGGGGACACGGGTGCTGGGAAAAACCAGCTGATGAAAGGTCACAGAGGTTAAGGCTTTCTGTGATTTTTCAGTCAGGACACAGGAAGAAAGCAAGGGGAGGTGTGGGGACTGCATAAGCCTTCTGGTGACCACCTCTATGTGGTGGCATGAGAGCTCTCTGTGGTTCCTTTTATGAGGGCACTAATCCCATTTGTGGGGGCCCCACCCTCAATCATTCAGCCACCTTCCAAAGGCTTCTGCCTCCAAGAGCATCCCATGGGGTTGGGGTTTCCACAATGGACCTGGGGGACATAATCATTTGGCACTGCAGTGAAGGTGTCCCAAAACACCTTCCACCTCTCCTGGTCAGGACCCCAGCTCCACCTGAGCATGTGGCGTCTGGCTGCACCTGGACCCTGGGTCTAACCACATCCTGAATGCCTCCCCCTGGGAGTCACACAGGGTTTCACCCTGATCTCAGCGGCTCCCAGAACACCTGTGCCTTTGCACCACCCCACGATTCCCAGTTCAGGCACCATCCTGCCGTACCTAGACTGGAGGCCTGGATCTCTTCCTGCCTCTGGTCTTCCACAGCTCATCACTCATCTCCATTCTGACATTTAAGGATTTCATGTGTCCCCCCATCCCACCTCACCCTTCCCAGCCTCCTTCCTGGTCTCCCTCCCCAATCCTGCCCACTCCTGTCCAGAGGGAACTTGCTAAATTGCAGACCCACCCCGTCAGGTCCCTCTCCTACTCAGAGCCTGCTGTGGCTCCCTAGTGCTCCATTCCTCTGACCCACAGGACCCCAAGTGGCCTGAATGCGGCCACCTTCTTTGATCCTATCTCTCTCCCTCCACCCTCACTCCACACCAACACCATCAACTCTGCCCTCAAACCATTTCCAAACTGCATGCCATTCCCAAGTGCGCCTCTGCCTCTGAACCCTGGACTTTTCCTGTTCTTCCCCATCTACTGAGCACTTCCTCAGCATCGCCCCCTTCAAGAACCCTGCAGAGCCTGGGTTGGGAGCAACTGTAATCCCAGTGGCCCAGGAAGCTGAGGCAGAGGATCTGAGCTCAAAGCCAGCCTCAGCAATTTAAGGAGGCGCTAAGCAATTTAGCAAGACCTTGTCTCTGGGGGCTGGAGTGTGGCTCAGTGGAAGAGTCCTTGCCTAGCATGTGGGAGGCAACGGGTTTGATTCTCAGCACCGCATATAGATAAATGAATAAAATAAAGGTCCATCAACATCTAAAAATTAAAAAAATAAAAGACCCTGTCTCTAAATAAAGCATAAGAAGGACTGGTTCAGTGGTTAAGGGCCCCTGGGTTCAATCCCTGGCACACACAGAAACAAACAAACAAACAACAACAACCATCCCCCCACTCCAGCCCCACACACCGGGCCCTGTTGAGTGGGGCTTGTTCCCTGGTGGACCATGCACAAGCCCTCGGCACAGATGACCCCATTCAGTTCCCCTAACGTCCTGACAACAGGAACAAACACTTCCGGTTCCTAGATGAAGAATGAGGGTCCGAGTTGGCAGGGCTCATCAGTGCACCTGTAGGCGGGGGGAGCACTGGAACTCAGTACTTCCTGCAGCCTGGATCCTCTGGCTGGGGAGATTGTCCATCTCAGCATTGTGAGTTTGTTTGCTTTTGTTATTTGTGGTGCTGGGGATGGATTCCAGGGCCTCATGCATGAAGGGCAAGTGCTCTACCACTGAGCTGCACCCACGCTCTTAGTTTTATTGACTTGAGTAATGTTGTCCGTAGAGGCACGTGTTTGCACTGGTCTGAATAAAAAATTAAACCCCATATCCAGGGTGGCCACAGAGTCCTGGCTGTGATACTGTGGCCTTCCTCGGTGAAGTAGCTTCTTCTCCTGGTGTGGAGGAGTCAGGGACTGCAGAGCATCCTGCACAGGCCGCACTTGACCTGAGCATCAGTCACTCTGCCTGCACACACTTGTGTCTAGATGGTTCCAGAAGCTCCCAGTGCATCTGCGGATTCACAAATGGCCCCCTAGTACCCCATGTCCTCCCAAATGAAGAACACAAATCCTGTGAGCCATGCTCTCCGTGAGAAATCGTGTGCGGGCCACAAGTACAATTGCATTTATTGATTTTTGGAAGTGGGGGGTCTCACTGTGTTGCCCAGGTTGACCCTGCGCTCCTGGGCTCAAGCGATTCTCCCGCCTCAGCCTCTTGAGTTGCTGGGATTACAGGTGTGCCCACCGAGCCTGGCTTTCATTCTACTTTTTATTTATTTATTTAAATTGTGAGACAGGGTGGAGCATATTGGTGCACACCTGTAATTCCAGCACTCAGACACTAGGCAAGAGGATTGCAAGTTCAAAGCCAGCCTCAGCAACTCAGCAAGGCCCTAAGCAACTCAGGGAGACCCTGTCTCTAAATATCTTCTTTTCTCTCTTTCTTTTTTTTTAGACGCAGTCTCCCTAAGTGTCCAGGGTTGACCTTGAATTTGTAATCCACCTGCCTCAACCTCCTGAGTAGTTGGGACTACAAGTCTATGTCACCTTGCCCAGTGAATAAGTGTGGTTTTATTTTAAAAACAAATGTTCAAGAAAAAAAGACAGGTGGAAATAATCTTGTATTATATTTAACTGGTAAAACCAAAATACTAATATTTCAACATGTACTATGAGGAAGTATTTTTTATTTTAAAAAATTTTTGTACTCATGGATGGACAGAATGCCTTTATTTCTTTTTTACGTGGTGCTAAGGATCGAACCCAGTGCTTCACACATGCCAGGCAAGTGCTCGGCCCCTGAGCTACACCCCAGCCGAGCAAGTTTTTTTTTTTTTTTTTTTTTTTTTTTTATTGGAGCTTAGCTTTATAGTTCTTCATAGTAATTGGGTTCAGCCCAGCAAACTCATGCATGCTTGGAAATCGATCTCAGTTCATGATCCTTCCCTTTTCCTTACCATCCTCCCTCCCTCTCCCCTTCCCTTTTCTCTGCCAGACTTCCTTCTGCTCATCTATTGATTTATATTTGGTTGATTCCTCATGTTTTCCCATCCTCCCCCCTTCCTATATCTTACTCTAACTTCCACAGATGAGAGAAAACATTCGGCCTTTGTTTTTTTGTGATTGGCTTATTTCACGTAGCATGGTGGTCTCCATTTCCATCCACTGACCAGAACTGCCGTGATTTCATTCTTTCTTATGGCTGAGTAGACCCCCACCATATACACACACCACAGTCTCTTCATCCATCCGTCCACTGTCGGGCGTCTGGGTTGACGCGTAGTTTAGCTGTTGTGAGTTGTGCTGCTGTGAACATCAGGGTGACCGTGTCACTGCAGTGTGCTGAGTTCAGATCTTTGGGGAAAGTGCCAAGGAGTGGGGTAACTGGGTCCTATGGTGACTCCACCCCTAGTTTCTTGAGGAACCCCATACTGCTTTCCAGAGTCCTTGTAGAGCCTACAGTTTTGCTCTGCACTCCCCTGGTTGCTAGAGATGTTGAACACTTTTTCATGTGTTTGTTGGCCATTTGTGTTTCTTCTTTTGAGAAGTTTCTGTTTAGTTTTTTTTTTTTTTCAATTTATTGATCGGGTTATTATTATGTTTTTGGTGTGAAGTTTTTTGGGTCCTCCGTAGATTCTGGATATGAATCCCCTATTGGAGGAGCAGGTGGCCAAGATTTTCTCCCATTCTGTAGACTTTCTCTTCACGCTCTTGTTTCTTAGCTCTGAAGAAAATTTTTAGTTTAATGGCCCTTTCAGCTATTATTATTATTATTTTAGTACTGGAGATTGAACACAGGGGCACTCGACCGCTGAGCCCCATCCCCAGCCCTATTTTGTATTTTATTTAGGGACAGGGTCTCACTGAGTTGCTTAGTGCCTCACTTTTGCTGAGACTGGCTTTGAAGTCGGGATCCTCTTACTGCAGCCTCTTGAGTTGCTGGGATTACAGGCCCGAGCCACCACACATTATTAAGGGGATTTTTTTTTTAACATGCATTTCGAGTGCTAAATCTTTAAAATCCAATGTGGATCTAAACTTTCAGCGACTCTCATTTTGAACCAGTCACATTTCAAGGTCTCAAGAACCACATGTGAGCTGGGCGTGGTGACACACACCTGTAATCCCAGTGACTCAGGAGGCTGAGGCAGGAGCCAGTCTTAGCAATTTAGTGAGGCCCTAAGGAAATCAGTGAGACCCTGTCTCAAAATAAAATATAAAAAAGGGCTGGGGATGTGGCTCAGGGGTTAAGTGCCCCTGAGTTCAATCCCTGATACAAAAAAGAAAGAAAAGAAAGAAAGAAAAAAAAGATTTGGTTGCTTACAATGTATGTCCTTGAACAAAAACCTAACCTCTCTGTTCCTTAGTTTCCTCTCTATAAAATGTATTTAACCAGATAAGTCATCTCAGAAGGTTGTGTTGTAGACTAATTGAGACTCAATTAACTTTTCTATTTAACATTTTAACATAAGACTGGAAGTCTTTGCGAATTCTATAAGACAAGAAAAATAAACGGATGTGAAGATTGGAAGGTGGGTGGTAAAACTGCCTTTTAGACCATTTTTAGGAAAAACCTGAGAATCTACAAAGTATCTTAGGATGAGAATTTGCCCAGGTTGCCTTTAGAGGATTAGTCGACTTTACTCAAAATCATTAATCAGCTAAAAAGTATAAGGAGTCAGGAAACTAGAAAAGTGCCGTTTGCTTGTACAACGGTGACTCCGATTTTGATCTTGACCCTGAGCCTCCTCTTGCCTACTTGACATTACCCCTGGGTTGCCTCCAAGATTCCTCCAACCCTATGGTGCTCAGCGAAAGTTCTCAAGCTTCTTCCCAAGACTGCTGTGCTGGGGCAAGTGGCTGCCAGTCCACCAGGACCCCCAAGCCCAAGCCCCTTCCTGAGCCTGTCACCTCGTCCTTTCCCTGGGCTTTCTGCTCCATCCTTGCTCTCCCTACAATCCACTCTGCCACAACCTCAAGGCTCTGCATGGTCTGTCTGTCCCTGAATTGTGAAGCCTCATTTGTCACTACTGTCACCCTTGCTTCCTCTGCTCCTTCTTCAAACTCACTGAAGGATTTCCTACCCCAGGGACYTTCTTCAAACTCACTGGAGGATTTCCTACCCCAGGGACCTTCTTCAAACTCACTGGAGGATTTCCTACCCCAGGGACCTTCTTCAAACTCACTGGAGGATTTCCTACCCCAGGGACCTTCTTCAAACTCACTGGAGGATTTCCTACCCCAGGGCTTTTGCACTTGTGGCTTCTCCTGCCTTGGAAGCTCTCCAGCAGATTTCCAGTTACCTGTAGAGTCTCTTCCTAACTCCTCCTTTGACAAAGGAGCCCCCTCTGGCCCCCCACCCCTGTTCAAACAGCACCCCCATGCTCTTGTCCTTGTGATACCAGGTTCGTGTGATGATTTTTTTTAGAGATTCCTAAACTTTTTGATCACAGCTGCCTTATGTTTTTTTTCTCTTTTTGGTGTGTGTGTGGGTAAACCTGGGGGTGCTCAACCCCTGAGCCACATCCCTGCCCTATTATTTTTTTGAGACAGGGTCTCCCTAAGTTGCTGAGGCTGGCTTTGAACTTTCCATCCTCCTGCCTCAGCCTCCTGAGCTGCTGGGATTACAGGTGTGGGCCACTGTGCCTGGCCTCCCTATGTTCTTACCAAAGGACCCCAAAGAGTTTTTGTTGATGTAGGTGATAGCTATCAGTATTTATTGCATTTAGAAAATAAAACTAAGCAATTTAAGGAATATGTATTGATTTGCTTAAAAATAAACTCTCCTGTAGTGTAACATATTTTAATGAAAAAATTACCATCTTTTCAAAAATTAGTGAGAAGGTTGTTGTCTGCATACATACACATATGTATTATATATGCAAATATGTGTTTATATCTATATGTTTACATGCTTTTAGTTTTCATACTGGGGATTGAATCCAGGGGTGCTCTACCACTGAGCTGCATTCCTGGCCCTTTTTAACTTGTTTTTCTTTTCTTTCTTCTTCTTCTTCTTTTTTTTTTTTAGAGAGAATTTTTAATATTTATTTTTTAGTTCTCGGCGGACACAACATCATTGTTGGTATGTGGTGCTGAGGATCGAACCCGGGCCGCACGCATGCCAGGCGAGCGCGCTACCGCTTGAGCCACATCCCCAGCCCCTCTTTCTTTTTTCTTTTTAGTACTGGGAATTGAACCCAGGGAGTCTTAACCATTGAGCCCCATCCCCAGCCCTTTTTTATATTTTATTTAGAGACAGGGTCTCACTGAGTTGCTTAGCGCCTGGCTGTTGCTGAGGCTGGCTTTGAACTTTCCATCCTCCTGCCTCAGCCTCCTGAGCCACTGGGATTACAGGCCTGCGCCACCACACTGGGCTCTTTTTAATTATTTTTTTATTTTGAGACAGGATCCTGTTTGCCCAGGCTGACCTTCAACTTGTGATCCTCCTGCCTCGGCCTTCAGAGTCACTGGGATTACAGGTGTGCACACTGCACCTGGCTTATGATAACAATGGTGACCTCATAGGGGAAGGGTTCTTGTGCTGCACTTTGAGAATCACCCCACCCCACCAACTGAAGGCCTCTGGGGCTGGGTGACCTCAGCATAAGAGTCAGCCCTTTCTGCAGGCAGGGTACCTGGGACCCTCACTCAGTTTCTGAATCTTGGCTTCTTCTAACACTGGGAGGATGCGGAATCGAGGGGCACTCTAATGCACAATACACACCTGCTATTTGTCCCTGCTGTTTGTCCTTCTGGAGGAGGCCACCTTCTTCTTCCTTTTTTTTAAGAGAGAGAGAAGAGAGAGAATTTTTAAAATATTTATTTCTTTTTTAGTTCTCGGCGGACACAACATCTTTGATTGTATGTGGTGCTGAGGATCGAACCCAGGCCATAAGCATGCCAGTATTTTATTTAGAGGCAGGGTCTCACTGAGTTGCTAAGCTCCCCAAGTTGCTAAGGCTGGCTTTGAACTTCCGATCCTCCTGTCTCAGCCTCCTAAATGGCTGGGATGACAGGCGTGCACTCTTACTAACACTTTTTATGCATGTAGTTAATTCCTCCTGAGGCCTGTCCTGTGCTGTGCTACGGACATGGTGATGACATGGTGGTCCTGGCTCAGCCCTCCTGGGGCTCCCAGGTGGATTTTTTATTTGTGAGGGACTGCTCCTGGTCCTCAAGGGTGTATGAGTTCTCAAAGGCTGAGAAGGTAGGGAAAGGCAGTTTAGGGAGTGGGAAGAGCATGCAGAGTCATGAGGAATAGAGGAGACATGCTCTGGAATGCTCAGGGTCCTCTACCTCCAAAGCGCCTCTATTCCGTTAGTGAGAAACAGGGGTGCATCTCTGGTTTAACTTCTTTCTTTCCCACTTTTTTTTTTAAGACTTCCTCAATTCTGGGCTCTTTGGTGAAAGTCCCACCTCTGAGCCAACTTCACTGTCTCATGCTGCAGTCCTTCGGTTTCACCGCATATCCACCCACGTCCTATTCACTTAGGATGTCCCAGCAAAAAAAAGGCGTCCAGGAGGGCGCAGGGTCGGGTCCAGGCGCCTCCACTGTCCCCATCCGGGGGCCTCCGCTTGGGCCCGGGTGAGTCAGCCCCTGGCGGCTCCCGCGTCATACCGGCCGCTCGGCTCCGCGCTATTTCGGGCGCGGGGCGCTATAAATAGAGGCTCGCGGAGCCGCGCCGCCCCCCTCCGCTCGGGCCCCCTGCGTCCCCGGCCCCGCCGCGATGGCCGGGCCGCGCGTCACCGCGGCTAAGTTTAGAGGCGGCGGGACACCGGCCTGGTCACCGTGCCCCGGCCGCGCCTCCGCCCCCAGGGCCGCGGGCTCCCCAGCCCTTCCGGGGCGCCGAGGGGACCCGGGCTGGGACCTGGCGGCCCGCGCGGCCCGGGGCGGCTGGACCCCGGACTTGGGGTCTGGAGCGAGGACGCGGCTCCGCGCTGGGGGCGCGGGAATCGGAGCTGGTCCCGCCGGGCCCCGGCGACGCACCCGGCTTCCCGGGCCGGGGTCCCGCGTCGAGCGCCAGGTTGCACCGCCAGAGCCGCCCGCCGGCCCCTAGCCCGCCGCTGACAGTGACGCTAACCCGGGCGGCGGACTTTGCGGCTCCCGAGTGGCGGGAAACGCTCGGGGCGGGACAGGGCGGGACCCGGCGGGGACCGCCGCCCTCACCGTTGGTCCCGGCGCTTCTGCCCGCTCCCGGGAGCCCGCAGGCAAAGCCTCTCGTGGGGCGCCGGCGCCCCCTGGCGCCAGCGGCAGGAGTTGCGCTGCAGGGTTGGCAATGCCATTCCCAGCCCCCGGGGACCGAGTCCTGCCTGTTACCTGGGGGCCCCCAAGGACACTGATTCCTAGTACTTCTTTAGACCACTCGGGGCTTGGTTCTCTCGTCTTTCCAATGAACTAATGATGCCAGGGCCGGGTGGCCACAGGAAGTGGGCTGCACAGCTGCCCCAGTGCCTGTCGCAGCGCAGGGCACACCCTCGGTGCTCAGTACTTAGAATCAAGAGGTGAGCGAACCGGGCCATCTCAAGACCGGACTCTGGACTTACTGAATCCTCAGTAACTGCAGATGGCAAGCTGAGGCTGAGGTGGAGAAGTGGCTTTCCGTGGGGCTCGGCCTCTGTGGGGTTCATTCACACAACACTGGGTTCAGAAGCGCCTTGTGAGGAACTGTGATGCAATGGCAGCTCCAGCTGCCACCTCCCAGGACCAGGTCAAAGGCTACTTATTTATTTGAAAAATCCTAACCATAATCCCTCTACTGCAGATCAAGTCCAATTCTAAGCACTTTCACGTGCTAATTCTTCACGTGTTAATTCCTCTTAACACTTGTATTGTTGTTACACCCATTTCAGAGATGAACAGACTGACCAAGAAATGAGTTGCTGGCTCAAGGTCATGCTGCTAATTAGTGATCCCGGAGAAAATGACACCTACGGATGAGACTGTGAAGGAAGGAGAACCAGTAGGGTCAAAACTCTTCTCAGAGGCCACCCAGAAGTCAGAGAGAAAGAAGAGCAATTACTTCTAACTTTGCAAGGAAAAGAACTAAGAACCCAGAATTCCAGATTCCAATTGTGAGAATAAAAGAACAAAAGAGATTTTCAAATGAGCACAACTCAGAAAATTGCTATTTACAGATACACTCTCCAAGAATTAGTAGGGAGTAGGTCGGGGGTGTGGCTCAGTGGTAGAACATATACCTAGCATGTGTGAAGCCCTGAATTTGATTTCCAGCACTGCAAACACACACACACACACACACACACACACACACACACACGAATTAGTAATAAAAATACTCTAACAAGAAATAAAATGAGCTGGGGAAGAAGAGCACACCTGTAATCCTACTTATTGAGGAAGCTGAGGCAGTGTGAGGCCAGCCTCAGTAACTTAGTGAGACCCTGTCTCAAAAGGTTAAAAACGAGGGCTGGGGCTGTGTCTCAGTGGTAGAGCACTTGCCTAGCACATGTGAGGCACTGGGTTCGATCCTCAGAACCACATATAAACAAACTAAACATATGATGTCCATCTACAACTAAATATATGTGTATATATATATATATATATATATATATATATATATATATATATATATATATATATATATTTAAAATTTTTTTTAAAGTGCTCCTGGGTTCAATCCTCAATACCAAGGAGGGAAGGATTGTCATGTCCCCAAAAGATATGCTTAAGTCTTAATCCTGGTATCTTGGGAAGCAACCTTATTCAGAAACAGGGTCTTTCCAGAGGTACCCAAGTTAAAATGTGATATTGGGGTGGGAGGGTGGGCCCTAATTCAATATAAATGATGTCCTTATAAAATGAGAAAATTTGGACAGAGGGCCGGACCCACAGTTGAAAGGCTGACCTGGGGGTGGGGTGGGGTGGTCATCTGCAAGGAGGCATGGAGCAGAGACCAGTGAGCTCAACAGAAATGTCCAAAATAGGTGTGCATGTTGGACATTTGATACGTGACAGAGGCATGATGTCAGAGTAGTGGGGAAAGGGCTGGCCTTTGGTACAATTGGCTACATCTATCCTAAATCCTTACCTCAGTGCATTTTCCAAAATAAATCTGCTATGGAGTAACGATGGAAACATAAAATCAAAACTGGGGAATGTTTAGAAGAAATGACAGAATATACACAGATGACCTTGGGGTATGACAGGTCTCTAAAACCAGGAAGAGCAAAAGCCAGGACGGAACAGACAGACAAACAGGCGTGAATAAGCCCTAAGAACTTCTAAATAAATAAAGCTAAAACACAGAGTACAAAACGAGGAGGAAACGTTCGCAATACATGGGACTGACTAAGAATTGGAATCAGAATCCAGAACGTACTCCTATAAATTAATAGTAATAAAAAAGGCACACAAGCCATTTAAAAAAATGGGCAAAGGATATGAGCAAGCAACTCACAGAACACAAAATATCTAAGACCAATAAACTCACAAAAACATGTTCTATTTCCTTAGCAATCACAGAGTTACAAGTTAGAACAGTGTGATACTATCCTTTCAGGAAATGACTAATACTAACTCATCCACCGAGTCTCCGCCTAGCTGTCCCCTCCTCCAGGAAGCCCTTCCTGACTCCCGGGCCGGGTTAGGCGCTGCTCCTAGCCCCATCCCATGGCTCTGTGGGGTCGCCCGCCCCTCCCACTCTGGTGGTCACTCTTTGGGACTCTCACTGGATGTAAGGCCCTCGGGCGGGGCAGCGCAGGGCCGTCCTTGGTCACCGCTGTCACTGGTACCGCCCCGCACAGCGCCGGGAACAGAGCAGGCGTTTGGGGAATGGTGGAATAAATGAATGATGGGGAAACCGAGGGCAAGCAATGGCCGATTTGGGATTCAACTCCAAGTTTCTCTGTACTGAGAGGGGGCACCTAGTTTGATTTCCCGACATCCTTCTCCACTGAGCCCTGCCCGGAGCCCGGGAATACAGGAGGCGATCAACAGGGCACCTCAGGTCCTGGAACCCGCAGACCCACCACACTTTCCTCGCCAATCCTCCAAGGTCCTCCAGGACCATAGAGAGCTGCGCAGGGCTGCCCCTCTCTATGCTCTCCCGTGGGGAGCAGTGAGACGGACCGTGGGCCAGAGAGGCCGGAAGTGCGGCAAACTGGGGCCGCGCTGGTCGCGCTGGCGGTGGGTCGCCTCGTTCCCCCGCCGTCTTTCCCTTTGGGCTCTGGGGCGAGCAGGTGAGTGGGTCCTCTTGGTGCTGAGACCCCAGGTAGGGGCGAGAGGGGCTGGAGGTGGAGGCCGCAGGTGGTGATTGGCAGCTGCAGATGCCAACCTTTGCAGTGTCTGCGACCCACCTAAAGGTGGCGTAGAGCGTCCAGGTGCGAGCCTTGGGTGCCGGCCCAACGGCCCGCGGAGACAGCGGGGCGGGGCGCAAGGGGCCCGGGGGGCGGGGGGCGGGGCGAAGGAGCCCGGGGACCAAAGGGGGCGGGGCTAAGGAGTCCGGGGACCGAAGGGGGCGGGGCGAACAGAAGGCGGGTGGGTGGTGGCTCCCTTGGGGCGGGGCATTCTGCAACCTAGGGCTGTGGGTATTTGGGACTTGACGTTTTGGGACACTGGAATTTTGGGGGGTGAGGGTGGGCAGCTGTGAATGGGGGTGCCTGCTGGGAGGGTGCTAATACAGATGCCAATATCTCAGTTGCTCCTGCTGCCACATCTTCCCTTTCAGGCTCCTGATGGAACCAGGGAAGGACGAGGAGGGGGTGCCGCAGCCTGCAGGGCCACCCACAAGAAAGAAATTTGTAATCCCGCTGGATGAAGATGAGGTCCCTCCTGCAGGGGTAGGACGAGGAGATGGGGGACGCCTGGGAATGGGAGTGGTGCTGGAAGGGATCTGTGGGGCCACACTGTGGATTAGGTGTGGGGGCCTAGGAGGCCTTGGGGAGACAGCCCTTTGCCCTGGACAAGTCTCAGTTTCCCGATCTGTAAGATGACAGAGCAGTTCTAAGAGGGGGCCAAGGCGGAGGCCAATAACTGGCAGCTAGAGGGTGGCCCCTTCATGTTTTATGTGGTCCAAACCCTATTTTTGCTAGAAGAAATTTGTGGCTGATGGGCCAACCCATAAGACAGGGAGGGACCCACAGGGGTTCAGTGTTCCCTCCCTGGCCCCATGTGACCCCCTTTCCTCCCCACAGGCCAAGCCCTTGTTCAGATCCACACGGAACCTTCCTGCTGTGGAGACCTCTGCCCAGGAAGCCCCTCAAACCTATGCTGAGTATGCCATCTCACGGCCCCCAGGAGGGGCTGGAGCTCCGGGCCCCACGGGGTCAGAACCCCTGGCCGGAGAGACCCCCAACCAGGCCCTGAAACCAGGAACAAAGTCCAACAGCATCATTGTGAGCCCCCGGCAGGTGAGGAGGGAGACAGATTCCTGTGGGGAAAGGCTGTGATAGGATGGCCCCGGTGGTGGCAGAGTTGTAGCTACTTTGTTTCAGCAGCCTGTTCATTCATTCATTCACCAGCTCTGTGTGTTGAGGGTGGCCCAACTCTGCTTCCTGGGGTTGTGACTGTCTATGTGCAGTTCTGTTTCTGTCCCCAGGTTTGCTCATTGCTCATGGTGGTGCACAGCCTGTAATCCCAGCAGTTTGGGAGGCTGAGGCAGGAGGAGCAGGAGTTCAAAGCCAGCCTCAGCAACAGTGAGGTGCTAAGCAACTCAGACCAAAATACAAAAAAGGGCTGAGGATGTGGCTCAGTGGTTGAGTGCCCCTGGGTTTAATCCCTGGTAACCTCCCCCCCCCCAAAAAAAAAAAAGTATTAAAGGAGCACAGGCCTGAATTTGAATCCCTCTTCTGCCATGCAATAGCTGTGTGACCTTGGGCGAGTGACTCCACCCATCTGGTGCCTTTAAATGGGAATAGGGCACAGAGATGGAATCCATGCACA